CAGTATCCATTCACCTGTGTATTAGGCATATTATTATTATCGCGATCGTCAGTCGCTGTCTATCTCTCGAACGGGTGGTACTCTTTTTCTTGGGGTTCTCATAAAACACATCTTTCAAGAACAGCACGTTCATGTTGCTAACTTAATGACACATCTCAAGGGCTGTCTGTTGAATAACTGTAGTTTTTTGTACAGTGGGTGCTGATATAAAAACGCATTTTATCGCACGGCACCCTACCAGTCTATAATTTTTTTAACAATCTTTTTGTAATCACGAGTTCATGCCAATGCTTCATTCCTTTGTTGCCATACCTGTCACTATACGAAACTATTTGTAATTTTCGAATATGAGAAAGTCTGGCCCTGAAAATGTATAACATATAATTATATATATATAATGCAAAATGCTGGGTGTGTGTCTGAGTGAGAGTCTGTGTGTGTCTGAGTGAGGGTGTGTGTGTGTGTGTGTGTGTGTGTGTGTGTGTGTGTGTGTGTGTGTGTGTCTTTGAAAGCCAATGTACCCGCTTTCGCAGTCTCAAAAACACCCCTCTCATTTCTTTCTTTTTTAGCATTCGTTCATTATTTCTTCAGGAATCTCTGAGGGAATGCCAGCGTCCTGAGTTCAAATGTCACCTGCACCTGAATAGGACTTGGCATATTCCGGATTTCTCGCCCACACCCCTGCTGCTCGCGGGCTACGATAGCATGTTCTCGCGTCGTTATGAGAATTCTTTTCTTGAAAATGTTAAGGCAGGTGTGGGTTTTCCCAAACCAATGATAAGAGCTCCTTAGGATGCGGACTAGGCCTTCTCAGAAGCCGCGGAGGAGCTAACGTTTTGATTTTGACTAATACGGAGGAGACGAGTCTCTTCCTCAGAATTACAAAGTTCTATCTGATATTCTGTTCATTGCAAAACAAATTAGATACTCTTGGAATCGATACTTGATATCATAATCATCTAATAACGGGGATCCATCGTAATTTTAAGAACCAAAAGGCTCTGAAACTGAATTATCTTAAACACTTCTAATTACATTAAATTCCTTTAACCTAGCTCTAATCCTAACCTTAACCCCAACCTTAACCATATAACTGCAACCCTACCCCTAATCTTAATTATGTCACCTAAAAATAAAGCATTTAGGAGAGTTTTTAGTTTTAGTAAGGTTTTACGCTGCTCGGAACTGCATAAGGTCATATGAGCGCCAACGGGTAGATGTCAACAGAGAAGACCAAACAGGGAATCAGGCTTACTCTGCTCACCTCTCTAGCCTCAACAGCATAAAGTCTGCTTTGACTACCAAGGTACCCCGGAAATAGCAGATCACAAGAGAGTGACAAACATACAAAAAGAAATAAAGAAAAAATGACGATAGTACGGATAAGGAAAGAAAAAGCAGCAGTTCCCCCTATGTTGTTCCGGCTAAGTATGAGCATGACATTGAGAAATCAGCCCATTTACAATTCTACTGTGCATACGAACTTGTTAATACCTCCCCCCCCCCCCCCATTTCAGTCAGTAGTTCTACCCTGGTTGGGGGGTGGGGTGGGTGTCATTTAGGAGATCTGGCAGAAACCCCCTCCCCCTCCTTTTCCCCATTGTGTCAGCCAAGACTAACCCAGAAAAAAAATGCCGGGATCGATACATCTTACACCTACGATTTCATAATAAATTATTGGCTCCTTCGACTGGTTAGCAAGGCGGCATCCATTGGTTCCCTCGCTGTGCTTTTTTAAGTTTAGTTTTAGTAAGCGTTTTACGACACTTGCAACACAATAAGGCTTTATAAGTGCCAAAGATTAGAGCTGTTACAAGAGAGCAACAAACACAAAAAAGAAGGAGGGGAGATAAGGACGATAGATGTTTGATAGGAAAGAAGAAGAAGAAAGCAAACCACACCAGAGCACACACCAACCACCCACCCCCCGCTGTGCACTGTGGAGAGCATCACCACCAATGTGAAAGCGATTAACACACCACGCACACATTTACAAAACATAATTGTCGTCAGAATCTAAGTTTAAATTTTGATCATTGGCAGCATCGGTTTGTTCTTCATTGCCAAGTAGTTTCTTTCTTCTCACTTATTCTGTGTGTCAACAAATTTCGTTATTTGCTCTCTTTTCAGTTTTACAAAACCGACTATGAGTTCTGTAGTAATGGACATCGCACGTTTGGTGGCTTGAATTATGTCATAAAATTCCTTTAGTTTCTTTTATTGTTATTTGACTTTTTACGATTTTTTTTCAGTTGAGAGGAAAAGGAGGAGAAGGAGTAGGGGAATGAGGAGGTAGAGGAAGAGGAGGAGGAGGAGAAGGAGGAAAAGGAGGAGGAGGAGGAGGAAAAGGAGGAGAAGGAGTAGGGGAACGAGGCGGTGGAGGAAGATAGAGAGGGGGAGGAGGATGAGAAAAGGGAGAAGGGGGAGACAGAAGAGAAGAATCAGGAGGGGGGCAAGGAGGAGGAGAAGGTGGAGGAGAAAGCTGGGGAGGAGGAGGAGGGGGGGAGTCGTGGCAGAAGATGACGAGAAGAAACAGAAGGAGGGGGAAAAGAGGGGAGAAGGAGGAGGAACAGGAGTAGGAAGAGGGGGAAGAAGAAGAGGAGGAGGAGGAGAAGGAGGAGGAGGAGGAGAAAGAGCATGAGGAAGAAATAATAAACATATTATGAAAAATATATGTTCGGTGTTATTCTATAGAAACAATTGGTTTACAGAGACCGGTCCTTATACACTTGCTGCATTCTGTATACTTTTTTTCTTAAAAGTAAACAATGCTTGAAGCAGCGCTCTGAGCTGGCTATGATGTATCACGTTACGCTTGAGGACTCATTGCAAAGGCTAACAATGCTACAGCTAGACACTCCCCATATTTCTTGTCAATGTTTGGAAAGTTTACAAACATATTGATTTCTAGAAGGAGGCGGATTTGGAGGGGGAATAGGAGGAGGAGGAGGAGGAGGAGGAGGAGAGGTGGTGGGGGAGGAGGAGGACGGGAGGAAGAGAGGTGGAGAC